AAAAGGTCATATCAAAGCTATATTTCACTATCGTTCGCAATTATCGCGAAATGCTTATCATCATTCCATTTCGTTTTCCAGCTGTTCTACCCACTTTTTTTTAATAACTGCATGGAACGAAATTTGTTGGAAATTGATCAGCTCCGGTGATTGCACATTGATTCATATGAACAAAAAGCTGTTAAAATGTTCCTACACAATTTGATGAAAATATTAGGCCTATTTCTTCAGGTCTCTAGCAACACCAAATAAATGGAAATTTATACAGAATTTTCACAAATTATGAGTTTCAGAAATCCATTAAATAAAAACCTTAAAATCCCACTTTGTCAGCGGAGCTTCTAAAAAATACCGTGGACCCCGCTAATGGTCCAATGCTCACTTTGCTCTGAAACACACTCCTTCCCCACTATTGGAATTTCTGCCTACAGGCCAGGACATTTAAAACTGATTTATTTCTATTATCTGTGATAATGGTTAATGGTTAATGGTTATTAATTTATAGAGCGCAATATACAAAAAGTCTCTAAGCGCTATCAGGCAAGTGTAAAGATGGAACGGAAACCAACTTTAATGGGTTTTTGTTTTTTTTTTCTGATTTTTTAGATAATAAATACAGGTATATTGGCCTATGTAGGCTATATATCCATAACAGTACAATTCTTTTTGCGTTTTTTTTTTTATACATGACACTCATTTCTTTAGGATGTCTAAGACTCCAATAAGAGCGTGTAGGCCTACTATTGAGCCCCCACCATTTTGACCATTATAATAGAAACTAATTGTTCATTAAAATTGGTCTTCATGGTAAATTCTACAAGATGAAAAATAATTCTTAATAAATAGAAAGGTTGGTATTCGTGGCCTGCACCATCGCTCTCAAACGTCGACGGCCTTTCCGCTAAGCCGCGACTCTTCGATAGTTTTGCTATTGTATTTTATCCAACTGAAAATATTGAGATTGCAAAAAAAGTTACGTCTATAAGGGACAAGGCGTATTCTCAGCGATGATCTGATCGGCCAGTTTGATTGGCACTTCTGGAAGATCCACACGCGCTTGGTCAACAGAACCCAGTGATCATGTGACATACTTTTTCACACGCGGGCACGCGCACACCTAAGTTCAGTCAGTAGTCAGTAGTCCTAGTTGTGATTCGAGTTTAAAAAAAATACATTTAGCCTATGTATGACGATTTATACAATCTAAAGTAGGCCTATGCTATACTTGGTAATGAAGACGCAAAGAACAACATGAAAAGACGATAAGCCTACAATATTTGAGGTAAATTTAATAATTAGTTCTGTTAAATTTACATTAAAATTAACATCTTCCAGGAAGGGGGTGGGGGCAGTATCATGGCCTAGCCTGGGCCCTAGTTTTCAAAGTGCGTGTTTGTTTTTCTATATTATATTTCTTTTTAGTTCTTAGACTTAACAAAACATCAACTACAATATATAGGTTTAATGCAAAACTATGTTGTTGAATATCCTATTATTAAACTATAAAAAGCCAAATCAAAGGCAATCACTGTACATATTATATAGTAGAAGTTGCGGCAGAGGGCAGCCTGAAAAGACCGTCTGCTCAACTTTTAAGTACTCAATTTTTAGTTTGGTAGTTGAGCGCGCCCTCTTGCGATACACTGAGAGAGTCGAGCCGAAAGTGAAATTTCTTTTAAAAAACAATGGCATGAACTTTGTGTCTGGATATTGGACGTTTTTTACAGGTCATAACCAGTCCTTAAATTTATGCCAGTACAAAAGGTAGTGTCGTCATTTCATACATTAATAGTTTCGTGTCTTTACACGTGAAATTATTAAGGCACAGGTACATAACCTAGCCTATAGGCAGGCTAGCCTAGGCGACCCTAGGCTAGGAAGGCTGGCTAGCCCTAGACTAGTAGGCCTAGCCTTAGGCCTAAGCTAAGGCCTAAATTAAAAAACCTGGGTAGGGTAGCCTCGGCCTAATAAAAGGCATGTGCAGGACTACCCATGCTTAGGCCCTAGGCCCCCTAAGTAAGAATCAGGTTGCAGAGCTGGTGGCCAGCTAGGGGCCTACTATAACTAGGCCTACCTCCTAACTAGGCCAAGGACAAGTGCTAAAAAATAAACCTAGGCTAGGCCTATAAATAGAGGCCTACCTAGGTCTAGTACTATGTAGTACAGTAGTTGACCTAGACTGGCCAAGTAAATTTATAGTATTTCACCTATCTATAGGCCATAGAGTGCTCACCTATGCTCATCTACTGTATCTATGGAGCCTACATAATAGCCAACTTTTCCAAAAGAAATCCGTGAGAACTCGCTTTGCGTAGCAACGCGCCACTGGCTGGGGGGAGGGGCAGGGCCCAGTGGGCCAGGTTGACAAGCATTTGATGCTCGCGCAATCTTTTCACTACTGATTTGATTGATCTTGGACACTAAATTAAGTGAAGTGTATGTAAACCAAAAAGTTATACTCATTTAAATTTGACCAAAGGACAGTAGGCCTACTGTAAACTTAGGATGAGTACCCTACAGTTGCTTGGTGTAAAATAAAAAATTTTTTTACGGACTCACTAATCATGAATCACAATGTACAGGCAGTACTTTCATGTGGGAAAACAGATAAACAAACAAACAACCCATGCGCGGTGCATTACTGGGTAATAAAAGCACACAGACGGTAGCGGGTGTAAAGGTCGTCGTTTGTTTACGATTCTAACGTTGAGCGTACTGGGCTTGCACATAGCCTAGGGTTACTCTTTGCTACACAATAAACACTACAGACGAATGGCAAATGATCTATCCGTAAATCATTGTTTATTGGTTTAAAAATCTTGATCCGTGAGTAACCTTGAAATCCGTGAGTTTTTGTTATCCGTAGTAAAACTAGTAAATGATAAATTATCCGTGGGTCTCACGTTCAATCCGTATTAAGTTGGCAACTATGAGCCTAGCCTCTAGGCTAGGGCCTAGGCCTATAGATAGGCCCTAGAGAGGCTGTAGTACTACTAGTTACTAGAATGCTGGTCACTTCGGCCCAAACCAACTCGGATCAAAGCCAACTTGGCCCCAGGCGACACTTCAGCCCAAAACCAACTTCGCCCTAGACCAACTCGGACCAGACGATAACTCGGACCAAAACCAACTCAAAGAGAACTACCCAAATGATACGGAATTACCCAGATGAATAGCGATCGCGATTAACAATTACCCAAATGGCAATTATTATTATTTTAGTATTATTATAATTATTAATATTATTATTGTTATTATTTTAGTATTATTATTATAATTATTAATATCATATATAGGCATAGTATTATTTTTCATTAGGCCTATTACTATTCATATATACTTATTTTTTTATATTGTCCGAATTATTACTAGTCCCATTAATCTTAACAACATACCTTTATAAAATAATGTATATTTTGTATGATTATAAAGCAAAACAAAATACACGAATATACAGATTTATTCAGGTACATTTAATTCAAACTGGCTACATACAAAGTTTTTTTTTTCCAATTCAAGACGTAAAAGTTTAAATTAACACAGGGACTACCCAACTATTATACCCTGCCATCTTGCATTGTGGCAGTGCACTAAAAGTGAGCCTAATACGCCTGAGATGAAACTATTAAATTATGTATGCATGATATTTTCTTGAGAATGTTAAACTAATAAATATTTCGGAAATTATAAAAGAATAGGAATATGTTATGATGGGTTTAACAAATTTATAATGTTATGTTTGGCATTCTTCGAATACAATTGTGTAAATTTTCAATTAGCCTACATTAGAAAATATTACACATTTAACAAAAATACAGTAGAATAATTATAACAATAATAATAATTGAAGTTGAAATTAATTAAAAATAAAAATTAAATATCGTCTGGGCCGAGTTAGTTTTGGTCCGATTTGGTTGGGACCAAATTGGTTTTGGGCAGAAATGTCATCATGTGCAGTATGCCTAAGAACTAGGCCTAGTTTAGAAGCATTTTTCAGATCTTTCTGATAAAGATTTTTTTGTAGTATATTTTTTAGATTTAAAATTCCTTTTTTTATGTACACAGGGTAAGCAGAGGAAGTAAAATGTCTTTTAGGCATGCTTTGCGTTCCAAATTCCGACACAATGAGAAAGCTCACGAAGCTGGTGCCGTAGAAACTTCAAAGGAAAAGCCTGCAACATCTGATAATGGAGATGATGGAAACACACTTAGTAATGTATCAAGTAGATCTACAAGAGTAGAAAACCTACCTTCTGATTCCGCAGATGATACGGTAAATAAGAAATTATGTACAATTCAAATTTTGCTGGAAAAGTATGGTATAAAGTACAAACCCAGGTTGCTACCTTTCAAGGACTGCAAAAAAAACCACCCTCCTCCCCCCCCAAAAAAAACCCCCCCCAAAAAAACAACCTATCAAATGTCCTCCAGACAGCATCCAGTAAAATAGTAACTGTCATAACCAAGAAAAAATACAAAAAGAACTAAGAAAAACAAAATAAAGTATCTTTAAATAACAAAGGTTTATTTAAAGTAAAAAACAAACAAGATTAACTATATTACCAAACATAAATCATAAATTACTCTATAGTGTAAATAATTATGCATAATCTCACTTTACAAAAACTTCACACACATATTTCTGTGAATATGAATATATGATACCGTAAAGCATTATGACTTAAGCAAATGGAGATGGTTGCTCAGTGTGGTGGATACCATACTACCATAAATGATCAAATTAGCAACTCTTGATTAAGCAACACTCAAATATTTGCCACACCCCAATAAGTGCTGCACCAAATATAATCTTTACGTATAGTGCTGGTCTTACATATGTGCCGCACCACTTATTACAAATGTATTTCAATTGGAAGAATTGTCAGTTTTGTAACAATAAATTTCTATCGTTATTCAGGATACCAGTTACTGAGATAGATGGGCATTTAAGAGGCAGTCTTAGCAATGGAAATGGTGATGCAACTGGTAGGTATTGCATAAGATAACTATATTCTTGACTAATAGGTGTTTAATGTATTTAACCAATATATCAAGTTGGTTGTTAATTTTGTCTTTGTTGGTATTTTAATTAATTTTTAACCAGTGCAACATATTGTGACAGTACATGTTTGAATTAGAATATAGGTTTGCATATATTAAGTGATTTGTAAATAAAGGTACCCGACGTAACAAAATTTCCTTTGAATCATTTAGAATAACTGACCGTTTCTAATATACTTCATTTTATTATAAATTTAAATTCTTTTTCTTCATGTTTACCGCAGAAGCCACTTCCATTTCCAGTAATTCCCGAACCACAAGACTGCATATGTGGTTCCAAAACAAGATGCTGACAATCCTGCAGGATTTTTCAGATGATACTGATCTTGAGGATACACCTCCCCAGGTTGAAGAGGAATTATCTGTCCGGAAGTAAGTGATCTCTCTGATGAAAATAGAAACCCTATCCATGTGCTTGACTCTAGTGTAGTGTTTTGAGTTACTTTCATATTTATTAGCAAATTATGGTTTTTATGATCTGTCCACTATCTAAGCCTTAAAGTATAGTTTAGAAAGAGAATCAAGTTTATATATTTGTGTTAATCCTATTAAAAAGATATGAGCTCTGTCCCTATACACAATTTTCGCCAAATTTCTAATGAAAATTTCCGAGAACCTGGCAACTACCATTGGGGACATACAGAGGCTTTTCACTTAGTTACCAATGTTTATCAGTGGCCGGTGCATGGCTTTCTTTCCAGTTGTTGCCTAGTCTTTGAAAACAATATGCCAAAGCAAAAATAAATAAAATAGGGACTCATAAAACCTGCAGTGTTTTTGGTTGTTTTATTACTGCTGCTCTGCTGCGATGTCTCACAGTGAAAAGTTGCAAGTATTCAGACATTGGTGGCGCTGTTTGAAATTACGCCTGATAAAATGGTGTATACTATGGGAAACATTTTTATGTAGCATTTGTAGGTTTGAACACAAAAGTGCAGATTACGAGCTACAACATTATGGAATTCTCCTCAGGGAGCTGAGTATGTGTTTTATGTGTTTGATCCAGCGACCAAAGTCAGAATGTGATGTGGTTACAGGCCTTCAGGCATGAAGCACTATGCAAGAATAACATCATATTATTACTATGAAGCAAATAATTAAATGCCTAGTATTAACCATCAAAGAGTAGAGGTAATTACGTACTGCAAATGATTGCTTCTGTTTCCAACAGCCAGTGTAATTAATAAGACAAGGCACTTTGGGACTTCAGATTGTAAGAAGCATTGTGTAAAACACTAACATTATCACTATTTATAGTTCATTTATTTGTTTTTTTTTTTTTTAAGATTGAAAGAGAATGTGAGAAGATTCAGTAAGTATTTTGACCTTTTGTTCTATATCTATTACCATTGAACTCAATAAAATATTTCGTTGTCTTGCTGGTTTTTTTTTAGGAACACCAATCAGCTTGACCACAGGAGAGTCGACCTTAGTGTCACACATAAGATACCATAAAAAGAGCAGCACTGAAAATCTCTTGTTCAAAAGAGGGACTGGTTAACTAAAAGAAAAAGTGAAACCCTCATTTAAAGGGGAATTAGAATACTCTAGTGTAACACTTAATCATGCATTACAATTAATATATGATCTGAATAGTGGATAGATGCAAGTGGAGAGAGACTAACATTGATAAGTTGCTTTGTTCCCCCCCCCCTGCCAACTCCTCTCTCAAACACAAGTGATATTGACTGAATTGAGTCTTGAACCCCTGACTTTATGGAAAGTCACCAAATCTATAGCAATCACTCCCACAGTTATATTTGTTGGCTCTTATCCTTAAATATTTTTAAGTTTCTATTCAACATTATGATATTTTGATGTTCTTGTAGAATCTGGATCAGAGCCTATAATGTTGTATTTTAAAGTCTTATCAGCTCTGTTGTCATGGCGATCACCTGCATCAACATTCCTTGCATTTTTGGTGAGTTAAAATATTAAGAACATGAAAAATGAATTTCTTAGTTTGTATATTTCAATAGATTACTAGCTTTAAAATGGAAAATTTCCTCACCCATTACCTGATATTGGTTAATACCATTTTATGTTCCTTTAAATTTTTGCCAGAAGTATTTATAATAAGATGTCTGTAAATCAATACAAACTATGTTTTTTCCCAATCTGACTTACTTATAGTTGATATCTTATTTATAGTTAGGTTTGAATGACTAATTCAATTTTTTTATTTAAATTTTAAGGGTTTTATTTTTATTTTTTAGCTGAAAGTTCTATCTAATCAAAATGTATTTAGCAGTAAACTTGCTAATTATAAAACAAAGCAAATAATAATAAACTGAAATAATTTTAACTGCTTTCTAATATTTTTTAGTTTACTTTTGAAAAAGATAATATAATAATACAGTAATATATAATATAATTAATTTATGATGTTCAGACAAAATATAATTATTAGAGCCAAACATAACATAGTGTATGAACAACTTGCATGACAATTAAACAAAAGAAAAGTATTTAAAACAAAGAACATTACAAAGGAATATCATAGACACTGGGTCTATCATTAAGTAGATCAATGTCTATAACCATAGACAGTACCAGACAGATAATCATTAAAGCCTAAAATTAATTTACATAATATTTCCCAGGATATTAGTTCCATAACTTTTAATGTCATGCTGCTTATTAATGTATAATTTTTGTAATAATATCTGGAGTATTTCTGCTCTACAACTGATTCCATTTCATTATATCTAGAGCCATTATTATATAATATAATTCCTTGTGTTTATCACCAGTCATTAGTTAACTAAACAATTAACCATGTAGTACCTCCATGGATTAATTAACCAGCTTCACTGTTAATTATTCTGAAATTGTAACTTCTAAGTTTCTATGACCATAGTCATTAGTTCAGTACAAAATTCATTATATGCTAACTTTACTATTAATTAAATTTGATCTGTAATTTTTAACATGATGATTTCAGTAATTATTACCTGATATGTTAGTCATGTAAATGATTCATTAAATTAATTGACTAATTAGAAACATATCTTGTTTCAAATGAATGAATCAAAAACTGACTGAATTATTCATGTAAGTTGTTCTTGCATTTGATTGGTTACTTGTTAGGATCAAATTTTGTTTTGTCATTCTCTCTAAAGTCTGCTATTAATGTTTTTATTGCTATTATCTATTATTGAACCTTGTTGTTTTTCTTGTTACAATATTTTCTTGTTACAATATTTGTTATTTTCATCATTTTGTAATGTTAGTGGTAGTATTATTTTATTTTATACATTGATTTGATTGGTTTTATGTTATTTTTCCCTTCCTTTTTCTCAGCTGTATATGTTTGCAATTTATAGTGGCTGGTTTCTCCCTGTCTTTTTTGGTTTAATTCTTTGGCATTTCTCAAAAACATATTTAATATCAAGGTAAGAATTTAAAAATAATAATTTAATATTGTATTAGATTTTTATATTATTATAATTATTGTTGTTGGTATTGTTTCTAGTGTTGTTTATATTGTTGTTGGTCTTGCTTCTTTTTTTAAATCACTTGTGTGAAGATGACTATGATTTTGGTGGAAATCTTCAACATTGAAATAATTCTATTAACATATTTCAAAGTTTAAATCCATTTAAATCCAATTAATGCATGGCTTATCTTGTTGGGTAAGTTTTTTAAAGGTAATTTTGTAGTTTTATTGTATTGGATTATTATTAGTGTATTTTAAAATGTGTGTTTTCTATGTATTTCAAAATATATGTTTTTTATATTTATTTTGAAATGTAATCAAAGGCATTTTGTAACTGGCCATTGGATGTAGTGAAATTCAATGAAAAATTAATTAAAATAGGATTTAGCACACCTCATGTAACATTTTATCTCTTGTTAATTAGGTATTGTTTGAGAAGGATGCTAATCAGTTGTGTTTCGTCTGTATTGTTACAGGGGTTGGAATATAGAATTTTCACTTTTGCCGTACCATACTATTGAAAAAGTGAGTCATTTAATACTTGAACTGCTGAAAGTTTTAGGCATTTATAACACCTTTTTTGGGTACCATGCACTTTCAAATAAACCCATTCCTACAACTTTGCAGTACCCAAAGTGTCCTGTCATTCCAGCTACTGCAAGTAGCACATTACCATCCAGTTCACAAGGAGCGTAACTCTGACTTGACCCTTTGCTTTAGTCGAAGAATATTCCATGATTATAGAATAAAAATAATCAAAGCTATTAAACTGTGCATATAAAAAACTGTTTTAATACTTTGCACAATTTGTTATTTGATGATAGAGTTCTGAAGAGGATAAAACATTGGGTATGTCAGACAAGTTCCAACTAGTTCTACAGGTTGCCAAGAAGGCCCAGAATTTTCTTGGAGAGGCAGCTGATAGTCTAGAGAAGTTACAAAAGTAAGTCAGTAATATATCTTTAAGTATGGGTTTTAATCTTAGAGCAATAGCATCTCAGCTTAAACAAGTGGTAACCACAACCTGTGAGTATGCTGAACCGTGGCAATCGTTTCGGACCTTTGATCCCTGGTTCAATTCCACCACTGCTCACCTCGTGTTTCAGCTTCAGGACAATACATAATAGTGCTCCATTTTTCAGAAGGAAGGTTTAACACCTTTTTTCCCCTAGTTTCATCCCATACGCCAAGGCATAAAGGGCGCCACTATAAGGAAATAAATTCATTCCATTAACTGTAATGAAACATGAACAAACATACAATATTTTTTTTTAGGTTATTCCATCCGGGTTTGTCCCTTAACCTCCAGGGTGAGAGTTCACATTCTGGTGACCACTGCCAGTGAGTATACGTGCTATACAATTGTGGAATGTTTAGACAGATATGGACATGAACTCATGTCCTTAACGCCCCGGGTGAACCCTGTCAGACGTGAACTCGCGTCCCTGGCAGAGAGAGTGTTAAATTTTCACACTACAAATAAAATCTAAACATTTAATAATTTAAAAATCTTTTTTTAGCCTGTTTGCATGGACTGATGTTGAGATTACAAGGTCACTTTACAAAAATGTACTCACAGTGTTTATTTTGTCCCTATTCCTGCCAGCATCAACTCTTCTCACTTATGCAGGTAAGAAACGTTTATGTAGGCAACTCTTGATAGTAATATTTACTATGGTCAACACTTGAAATTCATAAATGCATTATAATTCCTGGTCATTTGATAAAGTGTCCATGTAGCGCAGAATTCGTTCTTCATCATCATCATTATCATCATCATAAACCATCATTTACCTGTTTTCACTACATCCATCTAGTGATCATATTCATTGTGTTTTTCATGATCATTGTTGTGTCCATTAACATCAATTGTCATCATCATCAGCATATTTTCATTTAATCATCGACAACATTAATACTAATTTTTTTCATCATTTTCATCATCATTATTTATCATCGTTATTTATCATCATGTTTTTTTTTTTTAACTTGATGTTATGTCCCACTAAAGCCCTGTCTTTATTTGGTCATGAAGTGATGTCATCATGACCAAATATAGGCAAGTCACATTTTTTTTTCTTCAAAAGAATGCTCTTCCGCAATATGTCATATGTTTTTTTATACTAAGAATTTCTGAATTTTCACAGGGTTTTTCATTGGATTCAAACTGTTCATGAAACATCTGTTCAGATGATTAATTTTATTTGACAAAACATTGTTGTATGCCCATATATAGTTAAGATGTGCCCATATTTGGTCAAGATGTGATGTCATCATGACCATTATAGGCATGGCACATGTTTTTGTCAAATAAAATTTGACAGTCTGAATATCGCTTTAACAAAGCTATTTTATTAATAGAATACTTTTCTGCAATACAAAATTAAGAATTTCTGAATTTTCACAGGGTTTTTCATTGGATTCAAAATGTTCATCATCAAACATCTGTTCCAACGATATCCCCGCCTCAAACAGAAATATGACACAGTTCAGAACATGTGGAAGAAATTACCAACAAATGAAGAAAAAATTCAACGCCAAATTGTTGCTCAGAGAAAACAGGTAAATCTATCCACAAGACTAATAACGCTTTTTGCTAATTAATTTTCACATTTTCACAAACAATGGTCATCAAGTTTTTTCTTTATTGTGTTCCATACACATAAAAAGGTATCAAACAAAGTTGGTGGCTGGAAATGAGGTAGAAAACATGAATAAAAATGACATGGCATAACATACCAATGGAATTCAACCACAACTTGTGTCATGAAAATTAGTGCATCCATTTAAAAGGGAGACAAGCTTATTCTTTAGTTACAGGCTCATCCGTCAAACTAAGGTGGTTTGATGCAAATGCAATTATCAGTAACCGGTGTTGTTGACTTGTTTTTTTTTTCTGCACTGGGTTTTTTTTTAACCTACTGAGAACATGGTTTTAAAATTCAAATATATATAGTGTGGCAATGTTTAATTTCATTTCTTCTATGCAAAATGCACCATCTAGACAGCAATATGTAAATAGCAAGCTTACCCATTAGCCTTCATATTAGTTAAGGTTGGTGGGTTGTTTATTCAGTTCAACTTCATGACTTGAAAAAACATTTATAGAAGATAGTTGATATTTAGTACTCAAAATATTATTTATTAACAACAATAACCATTATAAATAGATGAGGTTTGTGCAGAGGTTAGGTTGCTAAGTTTAACATGGTTAAAGTTTAGCTTCCCAGCCAAAAAGAAATTCAATAATAAGCACGTAGTTATAATATTCTTTTCTACTGATATTTACAGTTTTTTGTATATCATGCAAAAGGCTGTAACTGAAATAATATGATTACATATTATATTATAAAATTCTATATATTATCAAATTAGTTTTATGTTAAAAGAAAGAAAAAACATGCATAATTTTTAATACAATTTCTATTTTATTTAGTGCTTTAGGCTAACAGCAATTCTACTAATAATGATAATGATAATTATAATAAAAATGATATAGATCATGATCATGACATAATCATAATTATAATAATAATAATATTAAAACCACAGTGATGTAGGCACTCTTTGAATCAAGGATCCATTTATTGTGCTTTACAATTTTAAATAAATTATTTTCTTTTATGCAAACAAAAGATAGTAGAATGCCATTAATAATGGGGAGTTTTTCGCAACATTACAAAAACGATCACGAATACGAATGTCATCTTTATTATTATCATCATTTGTGCCTAAAACACACTTGAAAATACATATATAAGAGCTGAATATGATCATTGATTCGTGTAAAGAGCATGGACGGCGTACGTTGTGACAGATATGTTACTGTAGGAGATGGATCGACTAAAAAATGGCCAAAACATGCTGGAATGTCAAATTTTTAAAAATCTATTTTATTGCATTAAACTAACCTTTATATATCTACACATCATTCTATGCTGTTATTTTCCCCATTTTCAATGTTAAAACAATACTTTTTAAGGATTTAAAGATAGTTTCTGCATGGGAAATGCCTGAAATCATAAACTTTGATGGTTAATTTCTCATATATTATTCTTTAAACAGCTGTGTGGTTAAACGCTTGTAACTTCATAAGGAAATGTCCGATTTGAATGATTTTTTTACCATTTTATAGCTATTTTTGCGACGAGTGACTGGTTTGGCTTGTCTTTACCACATTTGATGACATGGCCGTATTGGTTATCGTTTTCGTAAACTTGTGAAACCTGCCTATTGTCAATCAACCCTTTATAAATTGCCGTTTTTATATTTTAAGTTGTTTCTTGAATGGAAAAGAAAATTTAATCCACAATCAAGATTTATTGTTTCAAAAGTAATTGTATTTTTTTCAGATTATAGATTAAAATAGTTAAAAACAATTCTAGATTAATAGTATAAAGTATGACACAAATAGAATAGAGTAAAATTCTATGTAAATTGTTTTTTTTTGTATTAGAAGTTTAGCAAACCTCTAATCATTTTAACTGATGGTTTAAAAGTGTTCCGTAAACTCGATCCCTTTATGATGCACTGTTATTGTTTACATTACATTATGTACATATTGTATACATAAAAATTGAAGGATTGCCTTCAGGTACACTACAACAGATATATATCGCATATTTTTACTACAAATGCAGCTAAGTAATTGTATTTTTAGTTCATATGTCAAAGTAAAGTGATAGGTAAATCTAATAAATTAAATCATTTTTTAAAATAAATTGCTCAATTTCGAACAAGAAAAATTGTCCTCACCAATTAAAATTTATATAAAAAAAAATTTAATTAATGATCAAATTAATGTATGCTTATATAACTTGAGAATTTTGAATTTTAAGGTGTTTTTTTCGACAATTATATTTTTATTTACATAGTAATACTTCAGGGAGTGTAGGAAGTTTCGCAATGTGTTATTATTTTAACAGTTTCAAAGGACAGAACCTGAGTAATATTATCAACGTTATTATTCTAGGCATTCCAGCTACTGACTGTGAATTGATACAACAAAAACAATTCTATACAAAAAGCTTTTGAAATATTTGGTGGATATCACCATGGAAATGCAAACATAGGTGTTATTGTTATACTATAAAGAATGTTTAATTAACCTGCAAACCAACTGTGGAAACATTTTAATTCTTGTTTCCTTCTTTTTTTTTTATATTACTTGAATACTTCCTTAAGTAGAAACACTTTTAATTTATAAATGCAAAAACAAAAGCATTTACTACTGTTATGTTCTCACTTAGAGACACAGGGCTTTTTGGGGCTATATCTGATATGATAATTATATTACTCTGTGGGAGCAAGCATATTCATTTGTAGGTTGGTAGTTTATTTGAGTTAGCAGAATAATAGTAGTTAATGGTTCAGTTCAGGAGAAAAAGAGAAGCCAAATTCTATCATACACTATTGTTACTTTTGGACTCTCAGACAGGGCACAAATAACAATAAAAGCAAACATTAATTGAGCTACCATAATACAGTTCACATCTATTTGAGACCACTTTTGGGAAAATTTTGGGTAATCTCAGTTTGGTGTCCATTAGAAATCGATAAATGGAGACCATGCCTAAATTGTGGTGTGATTTGTTCACCTGTTGGCCTTTTCCCGTCACCGGCAACTTTTTATGTCTTTGATATTTTATTGTATATTTTCCTGTGTGAAGCCTTTTAAATAAAGAAAAATTAAATAAAAAGTGGTCTCCAAAATCAGTGTTATGAGAAGGTTATTAAATTCAAAAACCTCTAAAAAGAAAAACCTAAACTGCAAGTAGTCTTCAAAGTCAAACTTTCTCTTGTCTTGAAATTGTATTTCCTTTTTAAATTGATGCTTTTTATGTCTGAATCATTAAAGGGATAATTATAGCATTTTATTTTCACTTGATATACTGCCATTTACTACTGTTTTTCTTTTTAATTTCTTATACACAATTTCAATAATTAATTTGGTCAAAACATGCGGAGAGGAAGAGGGGTTGTGGTGTGGTAACTTTTGTGAGATTAGATTCTTACTAGCATTTTATATGTTAATTTTCATTCTTAGTTTTCAAGTTAAAATGAACATAATTCCAATCGAATTATTAATATGTTACCTAATATTCAGCATATAAAGCATTTTCCTCCATTACATGACTATCCCTGAGGCCGTTATCTCCAGCTTGGTTTATTCTTTTTGTTGCACCATCATATTCTTCATCCCTGCTTTTTTCATTTGCCTTCATCTTTTTTCCTAGCATATCTTGTTTGGATGCAGCAGGTATTGGTGGGTCCATAAATCCAACATACTCATTGTTTTCTTCCATCACATGGCTGTCCCTTGGCCCAGTATTCTCTTCTCGTACAAGTCCTTCGTTGCCTTGTTTTAATGTTGATTTATTCTCCTTTGGTGCTGTTTCCTCTACCATGTCATTATTACTACAAGCATTGGCACTCATGGATGTAGTTGGATCAACCAATCCCGCATAGATGTTGTTGTCAACCATTATATGAATGTCCATATCTGCTATACTGTCAGCCTGCTTAGCTGACTGTAGTTTTGCATTCCGGGCAGACATAGGGAGTACTTGAGAGTAGGTAGGTACTTTATTTTCTGTTCCGTTACCCTCCTTAGCAGGCTGTAATTTTGCATTCTTGACTGGCTTTGGGAGTACCTGAGTGTAGATATGTATATTTTTTTCTGATCCTGTAGCCTGTACTGTATCGGTTAAGGATGAGGCATTCTCTTGAGAATGCAAGATCTCTGTTTGATCTGGTTGCAATTGTTCATCATACACTGGATTACCAATCCCATAGGATTCCTCATCTGGTTGACAATCCTCATTGTTCCCTTTTCCTGTCTGCATTTCATGGTATTCATTTAAAGGTCTCAGTCCACCAGATGTTTTCTTTCGAACATTGCACCAAATTATCATTATTAGAAGAGCAACACATCCAACAGCTGACCCTGCTATGATGTAATACAGGGGATTGTTTTTAGATTTTAAAAACTCTGTGCCAGACATTTCTTTACTTGTAAGATCTGTTGTCAGTATACCTGGAGATGCAATAGTTAGCATAGTACTTTTAGAATCTAGTGAGGATGGGATATTGAATTGTAGCGTTGTAGATTTGCTAGTTGTAGACAAGGTTTCATGTGTCGATGTCTCTATTTTAGTCTGTGTCATGGTCCTTAGTGAAGAAGGGTTTCCTTTAGTTGTAAAATCTGTTGTCAGTGTAGCTGGAGATGTGATGGTTGACATGGTTGTACCCGACACTAATGACGATGTGGGTTTGCTGGCTGTCGTCAAAGATTCCTGTGGCATTGTCTTCTTCCTAGTATATGTCATGGTCTCAAGTGAAGTAGTTTTTCCTTTTGTTGTCAGGGGAACAGTTGTCTGGTATTTTGTTGTTGGAATCAGTGTTGATGGCTGAGAAGGTGTTGACTGCACAGTACATTCTGCAACTTCATTACGCCATTTGACCCTACATTGGTAGGTTGCCTCTAGATCCTGTTGTTGAAGATTGAATGTGTGGTTTAAGTAGTTCAACGAAAACCGCATACTGCTATGAAATTGTACAAGTCTACTTGCAATCATGACATCATCTCTCCACCATTCAAGTGTTATTTTTGGATTACC